ACATTCAGGGTAATTATTGATAAGTTTGACTTTGTTGCTGTCATTTTGTTATGTGTTTTTTCATGGTGTCCCTGGTTTCTTTGTTCCATATTATTTTCTGTGCTGAGCTCGTTATGTTTACCATTAATTCTTTCAATGGCTCAAATGGAGATGGAGGGTCAGGATCCTGGTACCAGCCCTCTCAGGGAACAATCTTAGAAGAGAGTTTTTGCAGCATTGGCCAAAAGAAGCTGTCCAGGGGGCCCCTCTCTATGTGCTGGTCTCCTTCACTGTCTTATCACTATTGCCATTGTCATATCATTGTCACAGTAGCAGGTCTTGCCCAAACCGTATCCTATTTTATTCTTTCTTACACACACAAATCCTTTGAGATATGTATTATTCTCTTTTAACAAATTAGAAATCATTGAAAATATGAGAAAATGAAAGTTTAGAGAGATACATTCACTTATTCAAGATTATCAATCTAGTAGGTAACAAAGCCAGGGCTAGAACAGTTTCTTTTTTTAAAAAAACTTGTAATCCAACTCTCTTTTCATCATGCTGTGATGTTCCTACTGCTGCTTTCCTGATATACCAGGACGACAGACCACACACTGAGGTTTTATGAGAGACCTCAGTGCATAATTGTTAAAAGACCGGATTCAGGAGTTAAACAGGCCTCTGTTCTAATCCCTGCCTCTGACCTTGGCAAATTCCTTCACTTCTTTAAGATTTAGTTTCCTTATCTATAAAATAGGGAGCTCTGGTGGTGTAGTGCCTAAGGCATTTGACTGCTAACCAGAAGGTTGGTGGTTCAAACCCACCAGCCACTCCTCGGAAGGAAGGTTGGGCAATCTACTTCCAAAGTGATACTGCCTCTGAAACCCAAGGAGGGGTCGCTATGAGTCGGAGATGACTTGACAGCACATAGCAACAACAACGACAATCTATAAAATAATGATAATAACAGTACCTATCCCATAGGGTTGTTGGGAAGATTAAGTGAAATAAGCTATATGTAAAGGCATTTATCATTCTTCTTGGAATGTAATAATGCTTAACGAATGTTAGTTCTTTATGTTGTTTAAGGCAGGCTGGTGAAACTAGCCCTACTTATGGCTTTAAGTATTAACTAGGATTATGAGAGCCCAGATAATAAAAAATTAAGCATTTCAGATTCTTTTCTTATGAACAAGGATATGAATAAGGGAGTTCCGTACATGTAATTTTGTAAATTTAGTTTGATAGTTTGAGGACTCTATCATTCTGTTCTCTAGTCAATACTCTAAAACCTACTGAAATGTTTGCCTTTTAAAAGAAGAATTTTGGCAACTCCTGCTCGTTTTTCTATATCCCTATTTGGTATTCTTATGTAACTTGAGGTGTTATTTCTAAGGGCCTCAGTTCATATTCTTTAAATTTCTAGATCAAGAAGTGAAATATTTCTTAAGTGGAAGCTACTTCTTACCCAAGTTAATGAATGAAAATTATACTTGTTATAGATAGTAAAGTTAACCCCTAAGTGTTGTTTTTTTTTTTTTTTTTTTTTTTTTTTTTTTTTCAGTTTAAAGCATCACCAAGGGTAAAGAGTACTATCAGCAACAATTATTTCTGTGTTAGGAATGAAGCACTTACGATGTTTCAAAAGAACTGAGACAAAGCCATTCTGAATTCCAGAGAAGAAACATGTGAATTGAAATAGCCCATGTATTGTGGTCAAATAGCCTGCCCAGTCTATGCTTAATGCAGGGATTGAATTACAAATTGTATGTGCAGATTCTTGAAGGAAAGAATCTGATTTTCCACTCTCAGCAGCATTTACTAAAGCAAAAAATCCGTTTAGGAAACCCTGAGGTTTGAATTCAGCCTCCAGTAACTTGTTCTCTGGAAACCAACTGTGTGCTTGGAGACTGGGCATAAGGCCAACATTTGGATCCCAAATCAGTCTCATATATCGATAGGGTTATTGTTTTATTTTTGTGTTTCCCTATTGTGTCATAGAAAAATGACATATCTGAATATTAGATTGAGTTGGTGAGTTGCAGAAGAGAGCAAGCTGCTGACCTGAAAAAATAGAACCCCTAATGCAAAGAGGGCGTGAAAAGCCAAACCAAACCTCACTGCCATTGAGTTTATTTCAATTTATAAGGACCTTATGAACATGGTAGAACTGCCCCATAGAGTTTCCAAGGCTGTAAATCTTTACAGAAGCAGACTGCCACATCTTTCTCCCATGGAGTGGCTGATGGATTCAAACCACTAACCTCTGATTTAACCCAGTACCACCAGAGTTCCTTGTTGTTATGTGCCGTCTAGTCAGACCTGACTCATAGCGATCCCTCCTTGGGTTTCCGAGGCAGTATCATTACAAAGTAGATTGCCCAACCTTCCTTCTGAGTGGATGTGAAGAGAACGAGAAAGACATGCTTTTGACCTGATGGATGACTTGAGGCAAATCTCCACCTCTCTGCCCTGCCTCTCTGCTTTTGTCTCACTCTCCTCTGATGCCTATTAAACGTTAGTCCTCAGGCACCAAATGAGGAATTTATTTATTCAGTTGTGAAAACAGTGATGGGAAGAAATAATAGAATGTTTATGATGAAAGGATTCAGAGAGATCTCCTAGACTAGACCAGTTCTTTCATTCTACAGAAGAGAAGTCTGAGGGGTAGTTGGAGGGTGGACGAGGATAAATCTCCTTGCAGCTCCTCCCTGCCCGACTGTCTTATAAAATTACTGCCTTGTCAGCCTCAGTTGTTCCTGGACACTTATTCTTCAGGCTGGCCTCAAGCCCATGTCTTTGCTCATAAGTTTTTTTAGCTAGCAGTGGAATATCTTTCACTAAGTAATTCCATATGGAGCCAAAGAAGGAAATAATGGGCAGTAAAAAAAGTCCCACTCCCTGGAGGCTGGTTTGGTTTCAAAACCCTAAAGGAGCAATCTCAAACTGCCTGTATTGGTATACCAGGAAAGGAAACAGCATCTTTTGCCTATATGATATCTGGAGAGGAGAAGAATTAACCAGAAAGATGATCACTTCAGGCCCCGCCATCTCTGGCCCTTTTCTGTGAATGCTGCCAGGCCAGAAATGTTGGAAGCATGCTAGACACCCCTACTTCTTCATTCCAGTGTACAGTTTCACCAGTTTCTGTATAGTCTACTTCCTGTGGATCCATCCCATTCTCTGCCCACTGTTGCTGCTATGGTTCAAACCCTCATCATCTCTTGCCTACAGTTTTGAAATGGCCTCCTAAGTGGTCTTTTTGCCTCCAGTTGCTTCCGCCTCTGAATCATCTATCTCACCCTCTCAATAGATTTATAAATGTAAACAAATCATAGTGTGTCCCACTCCCACTAAAGTCATTTGGTGACTTCTAATTGCACTCCACCACCCGTCTGTCCGTTTGTCGTAGTATGGTGGCTTGTGTGTTGCTCTGTTACTAGTAGCTATGCTACCAGTATTTCAAATACCAGCAAGTAGACAGCTTTCAGTGGAACTTCCAGACTAAGACAGACTAGGAAGAGAAGCCTGGTGATCTGCTTCCAAAATCAGTTAGTGATTACCTTATGGATCACAACAGAACACTGTATGAATTGTTTGCTTTGGACATGTCATCTGGAGGGATCATTAGCTAGAGAAGGACATCATATTTGATAAAGTTGAGGGCTACTGGCACAATATCAACAATGATGAACTCAATTTTGCTGGTGATTGTGAGAATGAAACAAGACCAGGCGATATTTTGTTCTGTACAGAGGTCACCGTGAGTTGGAGTTAACTCTAGGGCAGCTAACAACAATAGCAATTCCACTCCGGGTAAAAACCAAAGTCCTCAGCAAGGCCTATGAGGCAGTGCTCACTTTTCTAGTCTGATCTCCTGCCCATCCTCCCAATACACATTGCTCCAGCAATACTAAGCTGCTTGTTATTCCTCTGTTTCACTCTGTACCATGACCAGTCTCTGCCTGGAAGGAGGCCTCCTACTTCTTTCCTTATTATTCATAATCACCCTTCAAGTCTCAATTTGTTCTCTCCCTGACCTGCTCTGGCCTAATTAATCACCCCCTCTCTGTATTCCCTAAGGTTATTGTCTTATTCAAGTTTTTGTTCCTAGCTCCTAGAAGAATAGCTTTTATCCATTCATTCATTGTTGTTGTTATGTGCCGTCGAGTCAGCCCCGACTCATAGCGACCCCTCCTTGGGTTTCCGAGGCAGTATCACTACGGAAGTAGGATTGCCCAACCTTCCTTCCGAGGAGTGACTGGTGGGTTTGAACCGCCAGCCTTCTGGTTAGCAGTCAAATGCATAGAAATATTTATTGAGCTTATATAGAGAGTGATGAGAAAAAGTTATTTTCTAATCTGTGAAATTCTTGAGTATTGAACTTTGTCTTATCTTTGTATCCCCAGCATCTAGTATGGTGACTGACTTGCAGTAACTGAGTGGTACAGATGGACTCACTGACTGAACAAATGGGTGGACCTGCTTTTGTTGTGCTTGTGGTTTTCACTTTTCTGCACGTGCATAGTCTGTTGGTTAGAGTTTTACATGAGTCTCAAGGGGTTTGGCATTTCATTTTTAGCTACTTCGTGTGTGTGTACACCATGCTAGTCTTCTCTTGGTGTAGTGGCAAGATCGTTCTATTCCTCTCTTTCAGATTCTATGACAAGGTGCTTTCTTTGCATGAAGATTCATCAACCTCCGTGGCTAATCCTCTGCTTGCATTTACTCTCATCAAACGCCTGCAGTCAGACTGGAGGAATGTGGTGCATAGTCTGGAAGCCAGTGAGAACATCCAAGGTAATGAGGAGGAGGATTAGAGGGTAAGAGGGAAGATTGTATTTCCTGATTCAGTGGAAAGGAGAGAGAGTCTGGTGGTATATGATAAAGGGTAATGACGTGAGTGGGTATTACTGAGTTTCTTAGCTGTAGCTGGTAGAAAGAACTAGGTCCCCCTGTTAATATGTTTATATAATTTCACATTAGAAAGCACTTTCAATCTCATCTCATCTTCACTATAGTCCTATAAGGAAGGACAGGATATATCATCCTCTTTTTACATATGTAGAAAGTAATGGCCTTCTAATAATTTATATTTCATCAAGTTGCCTCTACAGTGTGATCTGCAGGGAGATAACTTTCCTTATTTACTCTACATCGTATTGTAAGAATTTTGTTGACTTTGGAGAAGTTATAAGAGGCAGAATTATTTCCCCAAAGGGCAAGATTCTTAGAGACAGATAGGCTGGGACAACATGATGAAGTGTGTGCCTTATTTCTTACGAAGATCATTTGTTCCTCATTCAGAAAATTGTATTATGCATCCATTCTGTGCCCGGAACTGTGTTTTCCACTGAGGACAAAAAGATGAATAAAATATTATCTTTGCTCATGAAATATCTCAACAGGTGATTTTGTCTTATATATATATCAGTGTTCACTACCCGTTTTTGAATGGTAGATTGATGCTTTTATGACCTGTACAGCTCTGAAGGATGGTTATGAGAAAGTGGAGCAAGACCTCCCAGCCTTTGAGGACCTTGAAGGAGCAGCAAGAGCCCTGATGAGGCTGCAGGATGTGTACATGCTCAATGTGAAAGGGATGGCCCGAGGTGTCTTCCAGAGAGTCACTGGCTCTGCTGTTACTGACCTCTACAGTCCCAGACGACTTTTCTCCCTCACAGCAGATGACTGTTTTCAAGTTGGCAAGGTAACAACATTCAGAAAGAGGTCAAATTGCTCATTGCCGGTTTTTTATAGATGAATTAGCTATGTCCCAATTGCTTTTACATATTTCTAATTTTTGCAGCATTGGTGGTGCAATGGTAGAAGGCTCACCTTCCGTGTGGGAGGCCTGGGTTCAACTCCTGGCTAATGCATCTCATGTACAGCCACTACCTGTCTGTCAGTAGAGTCTGGTACGTTGCTATGGATGCTGAATAGGCTTCACTGGGGCTTCCAGACTAAGACGGATTAGGAAGAAAGGTGATCTACTTCTAAAAATCAGCCACAGAAAGCCCTGTAGATCCAGTGGTCCAATCTGCAGTGGTCTGATCCACACCTGATCATGAGGATGGCACACCAGGCCTTTCTTCCTGGTCTTAGTCTGGAAACTCTGCTGAAACTCATTAAGCATCATAGCTCCACAGAAGCCTCCACTCACAGACAAGTGGTAGCTGTGCTTAAAGAGCATTGTCTAGAAATCAAGCCCATGTCTTTCAACATACCAAAAAACCAAACTCACTGCTGTCGAGTCGATTTGACTCATAGCGACCCCTCCTTGGGTTTCCGAGGCAGTATCTCTATGGATGTAGATTGCCCAGTCTTCCTTCCAAGGAGTGACTGGTGGGTTTGAACTGGTCAAACTTCTGGTTAACTTCTGTTACTGTTACTGTTAGTAACTTCTGGTTAGCAGTCAAATGCCTTAAGCACTATGCCACCAGAGCTCCTCGCTTTCCAGATGGAGGGGAGAATTCTACCACTGAATCACCACTGCCATGTAAATAAGTTGCCTAAGGTTACAAAAGGAGCTCTGGTGGCATAGTGGATAAGGCACTTGACTGCTAGCCAGAAGGTCAGCAGTTCAAACCCACCAGCTGCTCCATGAAAGGAAGACTGGGCGATTTACTTCCATAAAGGTTTACAACCTCGGAAACCCAACGTGGGTCACTATGAGTCAGAAACATCTTGATGGCAGTGAGTTTGGTTTTTTTTTTTTTTGGTTTAGGGTTACACAACTTTAAGTATCAGAACTATAACTTGAACCCAGGTCTTTAACTTTAATCCCCACATTCTTTCCATGATAGCCAAGGTGATCATATTCTTAAGACACTCTTGAGAGTTAAGTGGTTGTTATTAATTATGCCAGGACAACAGACATAAATGGACCATTTGGGCAAACTAGTCATTTGGCCACACTAACTATAGCATCTTGCCAGAAGATGAACTGTTGAATGAAAAGGGGAAGCAAGGATAAAGGGTGGAGGAAAGGAATAAGAGTTGGTGACTGGAAGGTAAGATCATGGAAACTCTAAGCCTTTGGAGACTTCCTGGAATCTCTTGCAACATTTCCTAAGCATTAAGAAATACTAAATTAATGTCAAAAAACCAAGGCCATTCACTTTAACATTACTTGAGGAAATAGACTTCAGGTATTTAACTAATCTTTGATCAATATTATACTCACACTTGAGGTCATTTTATTATGTGCTCTTTGCCATCCTTTCACTCAAGACGTAATGGAGTAAATCCTTTTTAAATTTAAAGATGTGTATTACAGGCAAATGAATTTTTCCCAGTCCCTATAGTTTTCAGTAGCACATTAGAGAATGGGCCTTATGAGACCAACTTTTGAAATTAGTCTTCAAATCATGCAGAGTGAGTTTCCCTAAGCCTCTCTATGCATTATTTTCCTTTTCTGAGATCCTTACAGACTCAGAACCCAATAGCAAGTTCATTGCTAATTTAAATTTAAACCAGTTAAAATACTTCCACGTATGCTTCATTAGTGAGGCCTTTCTCAAACCAAAATCATATGTTGAAAATGTAGTAAATCACTTCCCGAAAGTCTCACTGGTAATCTCTGTTTCTATATTTATTTACTTATTTTGAAAGAGAGAATATTTCATAGATAAGATAACATAGCAAGCAATTATACCTACGATTGAGATTAAATGTTCAAGTTTTGCTCTATTTGTTTCAGATTTTTTTCAAATATGTAAAAAATATACTTAAGAAAGCTGAAGTCCCACTCCTCTTCCTTTTCATTGCCACTTCTCTCCCCTGTCTATTCCATCCTTGCTTAGGCAACCATCATCCTGAAGTTAGTGTGTCTCATTCTATGCACATTTTAATACTTTTCACTACTTGTACATGTTCTAGAAACTTTGCATGTATTTAGAAATTGGGCATAAATAAAATTATATTGCACATCTTCTTTTGCATGCTTTTTTCAGTTAACATTGTTTTTGAGATTTATTCATATAGCATATTTGCCCTTGATTCATTTTTATTATATTCTATAATCCATTGAATGAATATACTCAAGTTTAGTTATAAATTACCCTACTATATTATGGGAGTTTTAAATATTTTAAACAGTGTTTCAGTTAACATCTTTCTAAATGTCTCCTATGCACATGTGGCATACTTTTCCTAGAGTAGATAACCTAGAAATAAAATTGCTAGGTAGTGGGGAACCTGCACCTTCAGCTTTACCGGCTGCTACTCAGTTGCTTTTCAAAATGATTGTAACAATTTATATCTCTGTCAGTTTTATATAAATTTTTTGCTTCTCTACATCCTAACACTTGGTACAGTCAGATATAGTTTTTGGCAACCTGATTGATATAAAATTATATCTCATTTTAATTTGTGTTTCTTTAATTTCTAGATCGAGCTTTTTTTTTTTTCATATGTTTATCAGTCATTTGAAATTCTTCTTCTCTGAAGAATCAGCTTGTTTATAGTATTTGCCTCTTTTTCTATTGAATTGCTTGTCTTTTTCTTATTGATTTGTGGGAGTACTTTATATATTCAGAATGTTGTTATTGTTGTTGTTGTTTGCCGTCGAGTCGGCCCCGACTCATAGCGACCCCTCCTTGGGTTTCCGAGGCAGTATCACTACGGAAGTAGGATTGCCCAACCTTCCTTCCGAGGAGTGGCTGGTGGGTTTGAACCGCCAGCCTTCTGGTGAGCAGTCAAGTGCCTTAGGCACTATGCTACCAGAGCTCCTATATTCAGAATAGCAGTCCTTTATATTGTCATTGGATTATGAATACCCTCTCCTAGTCTATACCAAAATAACCAAACTCACTGCCATCAAGTCAATTCCAACTCATAGTCACCCCCATTGGGTTTCAAGGTGGTAAATCTTTACAGAAGTAGATTGCCCCGTCTTTCTTCCTCAGAGCCGCTGGTGGGTTTGAACTAACCATCAGTTTCTGTTTAGCAGTCAAGTGCCTTAGGGACTATGCCACCAGAGCTCCTTTTTCCTAGTCTATTGCTATCTTTTAATTTTGTTCACAATGTCTTTATTATTATTATTATTATGTAGTAAGAGTATATATAACACCACATTTGACAACCACATTTGAATACTTTTTACATGTATATAACTCAGCAACATTGATTACATTAATCATGTTGTGCGATCTTCATCTGTATTCATTGCCAAGTCTTCCATCATCTTTAGCAGATACTCAACGTTTCCTAGACAATAATTCCACCCTTCTCCCTCCTTCTGCCCCTGGTGACCACTAGTAAACTTTGGTCTCTATACATTTGCCTCTCATAGTGTCTTTTGTGTTATAAACTTTTTTTTAAAAAAAGAAACATAGCCAAATTTATCAATCATTTCCTTAATGAGTTACATTTTTTGCCTTATTTAAGAAATTTCTCCTAACTCTAATGTTATAAAGGCCCTTGTCCTCATGGTCCAAGATGACTGCTAGAGTGCCAACCATGTTTCAAGCAGAATGTTCCAAGTAGACTGAAAAACCAAAACCAAACCCATGCCATAGAGTCTATTCCAACTCATAGTGACCCCATAGGACAGAGTAGAACTTCCACAGAAGGTTTCCAAGGCTGTAAATCTTTACAGAAGTAGATTTGCTTCATCTTTCTTCCATGGAGCAGCTGGTGGGTTCAAACCACTGACCTTTTGGTTAACAGCCCAATACTTTAACCACAGCACCACCAGAGCCCCAAAGTAGAATGAAGGGAAGGAATAAATAAAGATTCACCTATTCCTTTTACGGAGATTCCTAGAGGTACTACACGTTTCTCCTGACACCTCTCATTGACAAATATTTAAAGAGCCACATATAGCTGCAAGGAAATCTTTGATGTACTGCCTATAATCGAGTTGCAAATGTTCCTAGGTAAAACACAGGGCTCTGTTAATTTGAGAGAGAAGGGGAAAATGGTTATTTGCTCAACAAATAGCAGCATCTGCCATACCATTTGTTTTTGTTTTTCCTAAATTTTACTTATTTTTTTGTTGTTGAGAATGCACACAGTAAAACACACACTAATTCAACAGTTTCTATATGTACAATTTAGTGACATTGATTACAATCTTTGAGTTGTACAACCATTCTCACCTTCCTCTTCTAAGTTGTTCCTCCCTCACTGGTATAAACTGACTGTCCCCTCATTGAGGAAGAGGAAGACATAGAGAGGTACATGGGAGGTACAGACAACAAAGACGAAGCCTTTTGCACCTCAGTATTGCATTGTCAATGATGGCAAACATTGATAGATGTGGATAGATGGGTGGACAGGCTGAACTATTAGGTATGTCTGTGAAGGGGGGAGTATGCCCATGACCATGTATAGGGTTGGCAGACAATGTTTCTACAAGTGTATTTGTATGTTCTGTAAGAATTTCCAGGTATATAGTAGAGCTGACGGGGACAAGGTTGTAGTCATTTTTTGGCCATAGCCAGTTACCTGGAGGGAGCGAGTAGTTGGACCTGTGGGCTCAGGACCATGAACACAGGAGACATCAAGCTCAATTGGTATAACATCCTACTTTGGTGAGTAGTGACTGTGATTGCAAAAGCTTGCAAGCAGACATCTTGCAATGCAATGATGCAATGATGGGTCTCTCCTTGTCCAGAGCAAAGAAGAAAGAAGAAAACTGAAGTTGGACCAAACATGGGTCCCTGCCCAGTGCACAGTCAGGCCAAAGCAGTTTATATACTGAGT